TTATTTTTGAGAGAGAGACAGAGTGCGAGTGGGAGAGGGGCAGAGAGAGAGGGAGAGACACAGAATCCGAAGCAGGCTCCAGGCTCTGAGCTGTCAGCACATAGCCCGATGTGGGACTTGAACCCATGAGCTGTGAGATCATGACCTGAGCCAAAGTCGGAGGCTTATCTCACTGAGCCACCCAGGCGTCCCTGGTAGTTGTTGTATTATTGTTGTATTATTTCTACTTTTATCTGTGTTTGTAATGTTATTTAATAAAAAGCTAAAAAATAAAACCAAAGCAGCAAAACAGCATATGAGGTGACTCCTTCAGTCCCTGGCCCTTCCTTCTCTTGAAGACTGGGAACAGGCAAGAGCTGCAGCAGCTGCCTTGACTACATAGAAGGTATGAGTTGAAGTTGGCAGAGGAGTGCCAGATCTGGAGCCCCCGCCCACCAGCACTGGACCACTTGTCTACCCAGGGAGAAATAATTATTATAATTAAGCCATCAGAAAAATATTTAATTTTAAGTGTTGTAAATTTGCAGGGTGTTCCAAGAAGTGAAATACACATGCTGAACCTCAGAATTCCCACAACCCCCTCCCACGCCTTTGAGACTAAATCTTAGATCCTATGGGACTTGCAAAAGTGGGGGCCCATGGAACAACTCACTATGATATTTGGAACATTGTTAATTCCTAATAAAAAGTTGCCAAAGAGTTTGTTTGATTTATCTCACTAATGACCAAATGACCTGCTTGCATGTAGGTGGCTTATAAAATACAAATGAAGCTACCCTGAGGATTCAGAATAAATATGTAAAACTTCACATAAATGCCCTTCCCAAATGGTATATTTCACCAACACCGAGGAAGGGGAAGTTACCGTAAACAGACGTACTTGGATATAAGAAAGCTGTTTCTAAAATGCATCAATAAAATAACATGTGTAAAATATCTTCTTGGCAGGATTCTGATTGGCAGAAGTTTCTAGGCATGGTTTGTAGTCTGTGGCAAAAATGATAGTTAAACATTTAATTTGCTTGAGAATTGTTTCCCAGACTATTATTATAGGATCACTGATTTGGTGCTATAAACATTTTATATTTCAAGAAGTGTTTGATGTGTCTAAGACATCTAGTAATGCTAATACCGACCAACCCTCTAACCCACTTCTCATCTTTAATGTTGAATTTGCTTCATGAGTCCTTGGGGGGGATAATCTTGTGGGCAATGATGGCTCATTAACACAAACAAAGCAACTGATGGTAGGAAGAGTTAGGCTTCCCATGAAAAATCAAGCTATGATGAGAGGCTAGGACAGTGATTAAAACCTGAGCAAGACCCCCTTCCTGGATGGGTGTTAAGTGTAAATCTTACGTTCACTCCCACTTCATTTTACCAATCCATCTCCCTCACACATTCCACCCCACTCCCACCCACCTCTCCAAGCCCTGCTACAGTCAAGGAACACCGCTTCCTGGCCCATTGCAAACACCTGTTGTGGAATTTTGGTACCAACATAGCATCATTTGAGACTTTCTAAACCTCTACATTTCCCCCCACCCCCAAACTATAACTGCTGTAGAATTTCATCAGAATACTTACAGACACAAGTAATTTGTCTACACAAAGTCAGAATTCTTAAGGTACAGTGGTAAAATCCTATGGGCGTAAGATGACTCAGTGTCTATCATATGATGCTTTTTGTTCAGTTTTACTTCTATCTGCTCCCTAAACAATCTGCAACAGAGAGGATTGGGAGCAGGGTAGGGAGGAAAGGGGTTGAGGGAGAGGAGATCATATATATATACATTGAAAATACAGTGGGTTTTTTTGCATTGATTTGCATTTAGTCACAATATTTATTTTCAAATACTATTAAAAGAAATTAAATTTCTATATTCCATAAAAGGGAACCTGAGAAATACTGCACTGTCCCTGATCAAAAGTAACATTAACAGAAATGTCTAGAGCCTTCCCATGTGCTTTTTATTCTAAATGGTAAGTTGACTTACTTGCAGTTATTCTTAGTATTCTTACCCCCATTTTGCAATAATTAACAACTGTATAAATAATTATATATATTTTACTGAGCTGTCTTTGGTTCTTTTTGAAAGTGAATACCAAATTTACGGGGAAAAAAACAACCAGGAACAGAGACATGGGCTGATGTAGGAGTACATACGGTACTGCCAGCGATCGCAATGTTTTCATTGTTTCTATTATGGTGAGATTTCAGGCAAGGAATTGGTCTTGGCCAATATAAAATTTGGTAACATAGGCTTGTAGCTCTCCTAATAAATCAAAATGTCTCACATTCATGGTGCCAAATATTTTCTTGACTCACTTATATTTATAGTTGCTGAAAATCTAGCTCCGTGCCTTGGGATGATGTTAAACATGACAGCTCAGTTGGTTAAGTGTCTACCTCTTGATTTCAGCTCAGGTCTTGATCTCAGATCTTGAAGTGAAGCCCCATAGCGGGCATGGAGCCTACTTTAGAAAAAACAAAAACAAAAAAACCTTGAGGGGCACCTCGGTGGTTCAATCGGTTAAGCAGCTGACTCTTGATTTCAGCTCAGCTCATGATGTCTGGGTTGGGCTCTGCGCTGACAGCGAAGAACCTACTAGGGATTTTCTGTCTCTCTCTCTCTCTCAAAATAAGTAAACATTTTTTTTAAAATGATGAGAAAAATAAGTGTAGCACAATGAGTTTTTCATGAAGTTAATTTTATTTATTTTAAAAGACTATCCTTTATTATAATAGTATTCCTTTCCTGGTTTTTAATGTTGAAATAAATCCTTCCCTTTATAAAACAATGGTGATGGCAGCCGGTAATTGTTTTAATGTGTGCTTAACGTTCTTAATTTAACAAATTAAAAGATAGCAAATGTATGTTTCTTTAGTCGTTTTTTTCCACTAGAGGACAGGTTTTACTTGTAGTGGAAATCCCAAAGCTGAAGACCCACTGTCCATAGTCTGCTTTCTCCATAGTCTCCATTCTCTGCTCCAAAAGTTGTTTTCCAGGAGGTGACTGAGTGAGATTACAGCTGAGAGAAAAGGATCGAATTGCAAACGTGCTTCTCAAGTCACAAAGTGACTTTTCAAGTTGTAAACTGCTTGATAGGAACACTGTTTCTTTTTTTAACTGAAAAGATGTTTCTGAATCGAAAAGACCAGTGCTTCTGAATAAACTGAGAAAGCATTTTCTTCATTTGCACAAAAAAGATCAAAGAGCCTGTCTTTCTCCTGGGCAATTCACTGTGATTTCACAATAATCATTTTCAGATTAATAAACCAGAGTCAGCCTTGCAGTTACCGGGCTTTTCTTTATTAGGAAATCTGAGGTTAGCTAGAACCCAGCTGCAGAACATAAGACAGACGAAAGACGGAAATGTGAGGCAATACTTAATCATTTCATTATGTGCAATTAACCATTTATTCACACTTCTTAAAAACAGAGGCCTGGGATGATGGTATCCGCAACAACAACAAAAAAGTGTAATTAAATGCCCCTCGGTTTGTCACCTTTGGTGAAATTTCATCATCGCAAACAATTTTATAATTCTTTGCAATTTCTTGTTTCCTCTCCATTTCCCCCCCCCACCTTGGGAATTCTTAGTTCGAAGCCCCAATCTAAATGGGGGATTTAAAAAAAAGTTATTTTTAGGGACAGAGAACAGTATTTTACACCTAAAAGGAAATAATGGATGTGGATATGGACTTAAGTTTCCACATCCATCAATATTTGTAAAGAGCACTGACTAGGCACTTATCTAAGGATAGAATTTCAACATAAATGTCAATACCAACCTTTAAATTTTCAAAACTACTTTTTGAAGAACAACAACCCAATTTTTGTGTTTTCTGAACAAAGAGTTCAAATATTCTTGATCTGACGAATTCATAAATATCCGGGTTTTTTTTTTTTTTTTTCTTTTGGTCGTTTTCGCCCTGTCGGGACATTTTTTTTTTTTTCTTAATTCTTCCAATCGCCTCTCCAGCGCTTTTGTTTAGTTCGCTTTATTGTTGAGTGAATGAACTATCTGGACCCAGTTCCAGCAGCCTGGTTGCCCTTGACTGTAGCCACGGATTCCAGGGTCCCCGGCTCCCCTGCAGGGACTGTCCTTTCCCGGCGGGAGACCCGGTCGCGCGGCACACACTAGCCGGGGCGGCTGCACGCGCGCCCGGAGGGGAGGCGGCGGCGCGGCCCGAGCGGTCCCCGCCGCGGCGCTCGGGGCTCCGGTTGGCCGGCAGCCTGGAGGCGGGCTGTGGGCGGACGACACCTCCGCAGCGGTGCCGAGCACAGCTACACCAGCCCAAGCACCGTAGGAGCGCGGAGCTGGCGGTCACCCGGCCGCAGCTCGCCGGGACCTGGGGTGCGGGAGGGAAGCTGCAGGGCGCCGGGCGAGCGCGCGGGGCGGAGCAGGGGCGGGGCCGGGGCAAGGATCCCACCTGACTTGGGGGCATCCCGGTAGAGGCGTGGCCCTGAGACCACGCGCGGTTTCTGGCGGGTTAAGAGGGGAAGCCGCTGCATTTCTCAGCCGTCGCCAACCCCCGCTTCTCCAGGCTCGAATTCAGCCTCCAAGCCGCGGCCGCCCGAAAGCCCACACCCCGAAGAAGAGCGTCTGCTCCTGGACATAGTTCTCCCGAGGGTGGTGGGGTTTGCTCAGGGCCGCACAGGCGTCGGGGACTGAGCCAGCCTGCAGGGAGAGGGCTGGAGAGGGGGCCAGAGAACCGCGCAGGGCGCGGGCAGCCGTCGGGGCTTGTGAGGCAGGGGCGCTGAGTTGGACTCCTCGATTCCGAGGCCCCTGACAGGTGACCGTAGCCTTAGCCGCAGCATCCCTTGGGGCGATTTCTTCCGTGCACACTGCTGATTCTGTTTCTCAGGATTACCCTCTTCCTCCCAGAAAGGCTGCACGTGCCCGCCCTGAGCGCTGAGCCCGCGGTCTCTGCTGAAAGCTGTACTAGAAAAGAAGGACTGGGTTCAGAGCTGTCTTCTGTCCCCGTGGCCCCCATGCTCTTGACATGGTTAACAGGACTAGCGGCTGGAATAGTCGTCCTGCATTTCTTGCAGAAACTCGTGTTGCCTTATTTCTGGGACGACTTCTGGTACCTGCTGAAGGTGGTACGCTATAGAATTTGGCTGGATATGTACGTGCTGAAAGGCGAGCTGTTCACTGTCCTGGATAAATTCCTGAGTCTTGCCAACAAGCAGCCCCAGAAGCCTTTCATCATCTATGAGGGAGACATCTACACCTATCAGGATGTGGACAAAAGGAGTAGCAGAGTGGCTCACGTCTTCCTGAACCATTCCTCGCTGAAAAGGGGGGACACCGTGGCTCTGCTGATGAGCAACGAGCCTGACTTCGTCCACGTGTGGTTCGGCCTGGCCAAGCTGGGCTGCGTGGTGGCCTTCCTCAGTTCCAACATTCGCTCCAACTCCCTTCTACATTGCATCCGCAGCTGTGAGCCCAGGGCCCTCGTGGTGGGTGCAGGTAAAAAGTCCCTCGGGGTGAGGTCTACTTGGGCGAGTCCTCTGTGCAAATGGCAACCCTGCCTGTCATCGGCCCCTGGCCCCTGTTGGTTAGAACAGTTCACAGCTAATACTTCTGGTGTGGGATGAAGTGTGCTTAGTATGGCCACAAAATACCTTTACAGTTCTGTGACTGCTACTCTAATATCCCTTGCTCGATTTCAATCACTTACTCTTTTGTAGATTAGTAAACACCAGGACAGGTTCAGAAAACTTTTCTGAAATCTCTGCTTCTCACTATTTTGAGAGAGGGGCACTTTTACGGTTATTGATATCTTACAGGAATGCAAGAACACAGAGAGGTAGAATTTGGTAAGTTCTAGTTTTGTCAGCTCTAACAGAATTATTTGATGAGTAGGAAAGTCACTTTGATTTCATTGTGGAACGCCTACCTGCCTCTAACAGCAACCGTATGAAGGTTGCCTATGTTTGAAGAACAAGTACGTTTCATGTGAATTGCATGAATTCTTATCTTCATTCTCCTCTTATTTTGACCTGCTTGCAAGCTGGGATTTGCCTGGCAAGGTTAGGTCACCATCTCGCAGCCAGTGGGTGGGCTCTTGGCAGACTCCTGGCTTCTTGCTCTGTCTTCCCTCACCCTCATCTCTGCATGTTTTTCTTTTTGTTTTAATTATGTTCTGGTCTTCTCTCCCTCCTCCCTTGACGTTAGGCTTTGGATACACACACTGACCCAGAACTGCAAAGAAAAGGTTTTGGTTGAGCACCTCATTAACAAAGAACCTAGGAAGTCGAGTTGCACGACCAAGTGGAATTGAATTACGACAAGTGATACTTACTTGGTATAATGTAATGAGTTTATGCATATTTTTCTGGCATAAAGATAGGAAGGTAGAGGATGAAGAGGTTCTGTGGCAAGGACCTTAGCGAAAGTATTTAAGTATTTTAGATTAATAGATGTATACTGACAACTCATACGGAATTTTTAGATTCACAGAGCAGTCTGGAAAAAATATCTGCTTGTATGCATAAGTGATCTTTAAGGTGAAGAACTTGACAAGTAACCCTTATCATACCGTAATTGCATATCACACAATAATGGGTTAGGGGATAAATAGTACAAACGTTAGTTACTCAAGACTTTGATTTCTGCTTGTTCCCATTGTCCTTCCAGCTCAACTTAGGACTTGATAAAGTAGCAAAATGTTCACTCTCAAGCACTTACTTTGTCTCGTTTGATCTAAAGGAGTAGAGAAACTAAATAGTCTGTGCATTTTTTGTTCATTTTTTTTCGTTCCATAGTCCTATCCCCTGAGGTTGAAAATCATTCCCTCACCTTGGAAAGAGGTTAACTAGCATGACGAACTTTCTCTGAACTGTGATCATAAGCAGTATAAATGAGTCACACAGAATTTTGATATCCTGGTGAACGGGAGCAAATGATAAATGTAAACGAAGCATTAAAAACAATATATCCTAGTTTTTTGGATATATTTTAACATTTTATTCCGTTGCCCATATTATTGCTCAGTCCAGTTAGATTGCGATATCCAAATGAGGTCATGGTTTCTAGAGCAAATAGAAATTAAATTGTGCTAAAATTTGATAAAGCCATAAATTGTTTTCACAAGAGCAAACGAAGAGGGCCAGAGTATCCCTGAAAAGGTTTCTGTAACCATGTTATTAAAGCCAACCTGAGAAACATCCTACAGCCAGTTTCCTGAGGGATTCCTCTCAAAGTGTATAGGGCTCGTTACCTTTCAACACAGAACATTCCATTTGCTCTTCGCTGAGTGCCTATCTAATTAGGACCAATTAATTTTGCAGTTTTACTTGTGCCAAAGTTTCGCTTTCCTTGCCAGTGACTTAATTGCGTTGTTTCCTTGTTTTTGATTTTAACACCAACAGTGAGTTTGGGTATAAAAAAGCCTGTTTGAGATGCTGAAATTTTAAGCCAACACCAGTCAGTTTGTTAGGGAGTAGATGGGTGGAGAAATCAACCTTAAATCTTAGTAACAGTTCTTTTTAGCATATCTAAAATACATAAGGTATGTAAGGTTGTCAGCTATGGGACAATTCTGTTTCATTTTATGACTAGATTCTTTAGTTCTTGTTAAGATGTGGCTTATATCACAAACACTTTTCTGTATTTGAAGTTCTTAGCCTGAAATATGAGAAATTCTGTTTTCTTGCCATCTTGAGTTAAATATATACATATGGTTTTTAGAGCCTTAAATGTTAGAGGTCTTAGAATCTCATGGAATGTTTCTAATCGAGATGTACCATTAAACTATTATATGCCCAGGGAAGTATATTGAGGTGGAAGGAGGAATCAGATGGTTTAGATGGAGATAAGCCAGGCAGATCTGGATTTCATACATGGTCTGTCACTTCTTAGCTGTGTAATGGAGGGTAAGATCATCAATTGTGCTGCCTCTCATTTTTTATTTAGTTACAAAATGGTGACAATACCATCTACTTCACAGTGTAATTCTGAGATTAAATGATAGAACTTTTGTAAAGTGACTAGCTGAATGCCTGGTATGTACTAGCTGAAGCCTTCGTGAATTGATGTTTTTTTTTTTTTTTTTTTTTTTTTTTATTTCTAGGAGAGAGAGAGAGACAGCGTGAGCAGGGGAGGGTCAGAGAGAGAGGGAGTCACAGACTGAAACAGGCTCCAGGCTCTGAGCTGACAGTCAACACAGAGCCCGACGCGGGGCTCAAACCCACGAACCGCGAGATCATGACCTAAGCAAAAGTCAGATGCTTAACCGACTAAGCCACCCAGGCGCCCCTAGCCTTCGTGAATTGAAATAATTGTTACTATTATTATCATTATTAAGTCATCTGAGGCTTTAAAAAAAAATTTTTTTTAAACGTTTGTTTAGTTTTGAGAGACACAGCATGAGGAGGGGAGGAGCAGAGAAAGAGAGACACAGAATCTGAAGCAGGCTCCAGGCTCTGGGCTTTCAGCACAGAGCCCAAGGAGGGGCTCGAACACACCAACCATGAGATCATGACCTGAGCCGAAGTAAGACCCTCAACCAACTGAGCCACCCAGGTGCCCTAGTTGAGGCTTTTAATAAGGAAACTTCTTTGGATATTGCTGTTAAAATCTAAAATGGTGTTAGCTCTGAGAAAGGCTAGTAAGTGGTTTGGCATAGGACCTCAAACATCTTACTTTGGTATATTTTAACAACACTTTATTTTCCAGAAGTTATCTAGAATCGATTTCAAACAGGTTTTATGGGTAGTCCAGATAATGTCTTATAATCCTGTCTCCAGGAACAAGTCAAAGGAAAAGATAGCAATGAATCTACCAGGCAAATTGTTACTGGCATTAACGAAAACATTAACAGTTGCCTTTAACTCAAGGCCAAATATGCAAAACATACTCCCAGTGATTCCGAGAGGCAGGGACCGAGAGTTATATATTGGAAACCGAGGGAAAGAAATTGAGTAAGGTGTCCATGTTGACGCAACTCAGGTTGCAGAGCTATCATTCGTTCCTGGTCTCCTATATAAGACAGCGCTGCACCGTAGAGCCTAATCGTTTCTTTCTTTTTTTTTTTTTTTTAATGTTTTATTTATTTTTGAGAGAGAGCACGAGCAGGGGAGGGTCAGAGGAGAGGGAGACACAGAATCCGAAATAGAGCCTAATCGTTTCTAAGAGCTGTCAGTCCCCTTGTGATATAACTAGGAAAACCTATGCATTCCAGTTATATAAAAATAGTAAAGTAAAGGTTGCCAATATTAAGACACCAGGTATTTCATACACAGATAACTAGAAACAATTTAAATGGTTTTATAACTTGTGTTTTTTTCCCTCCCAGTCTGAAGATTCAAAAATACTGACCAGGAAGTTTTCTGTGGGTAGCATGTGGTTTTGTGGAAGTGTCAAATGGCATTTCAGTTTTCCCTGGAACATTTCAGTGCTTCCTGAAAAATACCCTGCGATTAAACTTCGTCCTCTCCTCCCAATTATTTCAGCTTTGATATTAGTAATAGTGGCTGCTGCCAAGATTATCATATACATCTTTTTTTTTTTTAATTTTTTTTTTTAATGTTTTTATTTATTTCTAGGAGAGAGAGAGAGAGAGACAGCGTGAGCAGGGGAGGGTCAGAGAGAGAGGGAGTCACAGACTCTGAAACAGGCTCCAGGCTCTGAGCTGGCAGTCAGCACAGAGCCCGACGCGGGGCTCGAACCCACGAACCGCGAGATCATGACCCAAGCGAAAGTCGGACGCTTAACCGACTAAGCCACCCAGGCGCCCCAAGATTATCATATACATCTATATGCTTTTCTCTGTTTAGAATACATAGGAAAATGCTGGGGTGCTTGTATATCACTTTAGTTCTATTCTTTGACCTATTTAGTAATAATAATAATAATAATAATAATAATAATAATAAATTATCTTTCTTTTCTAAAGTACCTTGTAAATTACAAATTGTATATGTCTTATCTTAGGTGATCCTCACTCCAGCCATAGTACCCTTGTTTTAAAGATCAGGAAAGCAGAGTTCAGAGTGGGCAAGAGGTCCCCTCAAGCCCCCATAGGTAGGAGCAGCATATGACAGGAGCCTGCGTTTTCCGATGCAAAAGCCAGCTGGGCACACCTTCCTCCTCCTGCCCTGTTCATCCCCCACACCTCCCTCTTTCCTTTCCCTCCCCGCCCTCCCCTGCCCTCCCCGCCCCTCCCCTGCCCTACCCCTTTCTCGTCCTTCTCTCTCACTTCCCATCTGTCCACCTACTTTCTTTCAGTACCTTTTCCGCTCACCCATCCTGCCTCCCATGTACTCTGGCTGCTCACAGGGCCCAATGGAGAGGTGCAGTTCTCCTTGGTATTTTTGTCACTCTGGGAGGAGTAGACTCGAACGGGGATGTAAGCTCTTTGAGTTGAGGAAGTTTGTTTTGTTCACCCACCGCTAAATTCTCCAAATTTAGCACAAAGGAGATGTTCAGCAAATACTTATTGCCTAGATGAATGAATGGATGAACTA